ACTGCTGGATGATTACATTACATGGCAGGAGGGTCGCACCTATTCTTGTAATTGCAAGGTCCTTTATCGTAGAATTTGTTCGGTCTATCTATGCAACTTGCTTGTACATCTGCATCGCAGGAGAGCTTCATTGGTTCTAGAACAGGAATAGTCTTTGATGGTACTTTGGGAACCAAAAGACTCCTTCTACTTCTATCCAATTCCATCGAGAATTCTTCGTCGTCTGGAATGCAGATGGCAATTCTGGTATCGTTGCGCACAGCGGCAGCTGCGTTAGTTGTGGTGATGCTAAAACATTCGGCTTTCTGCACATTTTGGCTAAGGTATGCGAGAAAGAGGGCTAATGCCAAATAAAGAAATTTTTGCTTCCCATGATTCTATAGAAAGAAATGCTTTTTCCGTCATCAAAGGTCTACTAAAAACAGATGGGATTCCCGGTTTATATAGAGTTTCGGCACAGTCGTTACTGGAGCAATACCTGCTAGAATTATATTTCTCACTGTGATAGAGACTACAAAAGTGGCTTCTTTCAAGATGATGGAACCATTCAAATTATCAGAGCCTACACAGGCAGCTATAGCAAATGGAATGGCTGGGATGTTAGGATCTCTTTGTTAACAAGCCGTGTTTGTTCCAATTGATGTGGTATGTTAGATCTGCATGTAATTTCAGCTGTTCTATTTTTTTGTCCATCTTTTTGTTGTTCGTTGAGGGGGTAATTTTGTAAGTGTAAGCATAACCATGAATTTGTTCAAGTTCAACTAAATTTGAATTAGTATAGTCAAAATGCAAATAAATTACCTGATTGGTAGAGATTCTTTAAACTCATTTTCAATCACACATTTTTCAATAAAATAATTTACACCATACTTTTCAATAAAATAATTTTCAATCACACATTTTTCCAAAACTTTTCCATACTTTTTAACCACCATTGTTCAAAAATATCACTCTTTAGAAAAATAAATAAAGTCAAAGTACCACGTCAAAAGGTAAAAGTACGTGTTCAATATGTACATTGACTTTTTTTATTTTTCTTCTGAACTGTTATAGAATGCATGAGCTGGAATATAAGAACATTTGACATTTTATATAATGATTCTATTGAGGCATTGTATCTCTAAAAAAATCTATACTGAACAAAGTTTTAGGTTATGCTATTAATTTTCCGTGTTTTATTATCTCTCTTATTTCACACTCACGTGCATAACCTATTGTCAAGACTGGGCTATCGTACAAAAACTTAATTAGATATTCAATGCTATTGCAAGTGATATTAACTTCCACGAGTCAAGTATGATTTTGGCGATAGTATTATGATAGAAGAAGGTTGAAGAGAATTTATATTTGGTTACTCACATTGGATATGGAAACGAATACCTGCATTTCGAGAACATTGGATTGATAAACACGAATCTTTTGATAACGAGGAATAAATGGATCTCATGGTTTATAGGACAATGTTTTATTGTGCAAAATCTGTTTTCTGTGGGTTTCTGTTTTCCTCTTTCAAGCTTGGTTATTCATTCTGTTGGGTTTCTGACACAAATTAG